TGTCGTGTGCATGCCACGTTTCTCATACGCGGCTCGAAATGTTTTTCGACCGTGTTGTCTCACTTTTAGATAGGTACTACTATAGCTATATATGTATATGTATGTATGTACGTATGTGTATACACGTATCGTGTATATGTGCGCGCAACACACACACACACACACAAAACACACGCGCGCGCCACACAGACAAATACAAATGTACTTGTATATACAAGACGTATATAGTTTATCTATAAATTGAAAGGAAGAAGGAAACGTCGACGGGCAAAAGTTTTCTTTTCTTTTTTTTTTTTCCTTCGGAAAGGAAGAAAATGACGAGAAAAGAGGGAAATAATAATCCTAGGTAGATGGCGGGCAGCATTTACCATTCGTTCGTCGAGATGGAACGAATAAAGTTTTACGGTTGTTAGTATCTTACTACAATCTTATATAGTGATCGCTTACAATCGCTCACGGCCAGGACACACGCACGTACTTTCTTCGTTCGTTACGTTTGACACTTACGTCGACAGGGTATTTCAAATGTCACTGTGCATACATTCGATACATTCAATGGCGCGTTGAACGAGTTTTTATTTCATAGTCGATAGTCAACGAACGGTGCACGCTTGATCTCATCCAAGGTCGAACGTTGCATCGATCTGTTGCATCGATCCAATCCATCAAGTCACACACACTCGCCAGCGAATGAGAACGAATTTATCATCAGATTTGCGGGCCGACGAGATTCCTACGATGGATTTTTGAGCGTGCACTAGCTTCTGAAACGTCCTGTAGACAGACAGACAGACAGACAGACAGACAGACAGACAGACAGACAGACAGACACATAAAGATCTCATCATCGATGAACTCCTCCGCGGCTACGTGTCAAACTCGAGCAAGAAATTCAAACAAACACATTGCGACGTGTCCATTGCGCCGCCGCGTGAAGAGAAGAAAAGTGAAAAATTGTGTTATTTTATCTACCTCATCGTCAACATGCGTGCAAGCAAGCAAGAAAGAAAGAAAGAAAGAAAGAAAATAGATAAGAATTGCAAGAAGCAGTAGAACTGCTTGCAACGATAGATATTGTAGGAGACAAAGAGAGAAGAGAGAAAAAGCAAATAGCGAGATGCTTCCTCTATCTCCATCTATTTATCGTCCGATACAATGTTGCGACATGTACTTTCTAATTTTAATACGTTACTCACTTTGTCGATTATTATATATTTTATGTGTATTTGCCTATTTGATGGGCATCGGCACAGCATAGTTTATACGAGATATGTTGACTATGAGAAAAGTTTATCGCGAGAGCAAAGAATGAAAGTTGAAGCGGAATAATAATAATAATAAAAAAGAAGGAAAAGGAGAATTGTAAGCGAGAAAGAGAGAGAGAGAGAGAGAGAGAGAAAGGGGGGAGGGGAGAAAAATTGTTCCAGATTGAATGTTAAACGTGTTGTACATACATAAATACGTAGGTAGACTTAGGGGGAAAAAAGTGAAAACGAAAAATGACAAAAATAATTGGGAAAGATCCAGTAGAGAAGAGTGTTTTTTTTTCTTTTTTTTTTTTCTTTTGTTAATAACAAAGAGGAAAGAGGAAAATGAATCAGGGGAAACAAACAAAGGAAGAGAAACATGTTTTTCGTCACGATTAAAAACAGTATTGCAGTGTATTCTGCTGTCGCTTTAATCTTTTACTTGTTCTACACACTTGAAAATGCACAACTGACCATATGGACATGGACGTACATAAAGTACGTACTTACTTACACGTAACGCGTAAAGCGAGAAAGCGAGAGAGAGAGAAGATATTAACAGAGAGAAAGAAAGAAAGAAAAATATATATATATACACCTGCAAGCTTGGCACTTGTCGGAGAATTTATCGTATGTAGCGACGCGACCTGTTGTAAACAGGTGCCGCGTCTCGTTTAAATCACCTTTACAGGCTGTGAGATGCGAGCTAAGCAGCAGAGAAACTTGCTCGAGACCTCAATCACATGTGTCAAACAAGCGTCAGATACTAATATACACACACACACACACACACACACACACACACACACACACTAATATATACTCTTAAATCTTAATCTATCTCGTTTGAGAAAAAATGAAAAAAGGAAAAAAAATACGTCAAGTCTAGCTCTGTTTAAGAAAAGAAAAAGAAGGAGCGAAAAAAGGGAAAAGAAAAGGAGAAACCACCGGCATCTATCGTCACTCGTGGCAACACACCATTTATCGCTAGTTCTTTCTCCTCGACATACCTACACGCTACACACCCATACGTACACATAAGTGAATTTTAGAGTTGGTATTGCAAATAGCGGAAAGAAACGAAAGTAGCTTGAAAGTGTAAGGGGGTGACGTTGACGACTTGCACCAAGTGCACAAAGTCGTCCGCTAAAAATCAAATGAACAAAGAAAGAGAAATGACAGAATTCGCAGAAGGTGCAAAAGAATGTGCAAAGATGCGTTAATTACAAACCAACATATGTATATATAGATATGCACATATACAAATTACATGTGTATGTGCGCGCGCGTGTGGTGCGTGCGTGCGTGCGTGTGTGTGCGTGCGTGTGTGGTGTATATGCGCGCGCGCGCGCGTGTGCGTGTGTGTATACATATGTATATGTATATAGGAAATAAATATAAAATATATTTGTAGATACAAACACTTTAGCCATCTGATTAGCGATTATGTAATAGAGTCAATACTGTGAACAGAACAAAAGATTAATCGCAAAAAAAAGATTATCTATAACTTTGCCCCCTATACCCTTATAGATTATAGACGACGATGAATACTTGTAATTAACAACTTATGGAAGATAAAATATAATGAATGAAGAAACTATATCTGCGATCGGATCGATTAAATACAATAAATAAACGACATACATCTAACAACATCAGCGTTTACCATTTCTCCTCTACCTTCTTGCAAATCATTCTCCAAGTCGTTCCTTTCGAAAATTGTCACCGTTCCGCGAGATATCAACAATTATCGTCGACTCTGAAATCAAGTCTCTCTCTCTCTCTCTCTCTCTCTCTCTCTCTCTCTCTCTCTCTCTCTCT